CTGGCCTCGGGCCCTGGGTCGCAGGCAGGACGCAAACGCGCGCTCCACGCTCCCTCTTTCCCTCGAGCCTCTGTCTTTCCACTGACATCGGCGTAGCTTTCCTTACAAAGAGTGTGGAAACCCCGAAACAGGCCGTGAGCTGCAAGCCAGCGCGAACACGGGGCTTTCGGGCGGGGGCGGGGCAGGCGGCCGGGCCGCGTCGATTTGGAGAGAGTGTTCGGACCTTGGGGAACGGCTTCTGAAAGGCCGTGTTCGTCCGCTCAGCTGCTTATGGAGCCCCATAAGTACTTCTTAAGCTAAATCCACGCTTTATCAAGGCTCAGTAATCTGTACTGCGCTAGGTACCCGGCTGGGCGGGGCAGTGGAGACGCGCACCCGGCCCTTACCCGCTGACCCCTTAGAAGGGAGACCGCAGGGGAGCGCTGCGCAATTTCAAAGTGTGGCAAGAGCCCCGAAAGAGAGGAAGGGAGGCCTTGGGGGTGGGAAGATGAACGTTCAGACGCAAAGAAAAACCCCGAAATAGGAAGGAGTTAGGTGTGAGGGTTTGTTGGGTGTTTTTTTTTGGGGGGGGGGTAACTTTGAAGAACCAAAGGAAGGTCAGATGGTTCTAGACAGCAAGGGAGAGAGAAAGGGAGCTTGGAAATAAGTCAACCACCAGGGCAGGCTCAGGGGTCCTCTGCTCTGCCTGTGGGGGCTATGAGGCTGCCCACCCTGGGTACCACAGACACCTCCACACAACCTGCACTGGGTGAGAGGCTTCCCCCGAAGTCTGCCCAGGGGTGATCTGTGAGCCTCACAAGTGGAAGGAGCCCTGGGGAGAGAGAAACAGCAGACTAGAACCCAGGGCCTCTGGTTTCAAACTAAGTCCTCAATAAGCCCTTTGCTGAATCGAAGGTATACGAGAATATTCCACACACCTTTGACACAACCCAGGCCCAGATATGGTTCCCCTGATGAAAGCGTGACTGCCACTCTGCAGCCCTAAGGAGTGCCCAAAAATGTGGGGACACGGGCTGCTGATACAGACAGGAATGGGGAGTGGTTTGGGCTACTCCCGCGTTAACTAATAACCCATTTCCCATTTCCACAAGATGCTGCAGACACAAGTCATCCCTACCACCTCTGGTTTCAAATATGTCCAGCCATTAATTATCCCCTCCTCGACTTCCTACTGATTTATTTACCCACTCCGTGCCAAAGGTGTGTGGAATATTCTTGTATACCTCTGATTCAGCAAAGGGCTTATTAAGGACTTAATCTGAAACCAGAGGCCCTGGGTTCTAGCCTGCTAATTAGGAGGTAACCACGTGACCTCAAGCAAGTCTCTCTGGGCCTCTATTTCTCCTTAAGCTAATGGGGCAAGTGAGTCTGACTAAAGCTGTACAAATCCTCTAGATTTACATTTATGATTCTGGCAATTAACATCTTTAACAGTAGTTAAGAGCAAAATTCTGGAGTTAGATAAGCCTAGTTTTAATTTCCCTCTTTGTAACCTTGGGTACCAGTCACCTCACCTCTCGGAGCATACGCTCTTCACTTGTCAAATGGAGATAAAAATAGTGCTTGCCTCTCACAGCTGTTGAAAGCAGTAAGCCACAAACTGTGATGTGCTTCACACCCTGCGGCAGTACATGTTAGCAAATATTATGTGTATTATCTAGAGAAATTAAAGTTGTTTTGTTTCTCTTCTTACTTCGTATGGCAGACATATTTTCACAAACTTGGAGGATACATTGTGGAAGGTCCGACTTAAAATAAGGGTATCCTAGCCCAGCCGGGCGTGGCTCAGCGGTTGACCTAAGATCCAGGAGGTCCGAGTTCGATTCCCAGTCAGGGCCCAGGCCCGGGTTGCAGGCTCCATCCCCAGTTGGGGGCGTGCAGGAAGCAGCCAGTCAATGACTTTCATCATTGATGTTTCTCTCTCTCTCCCTCTCCCTTCCTCTCTCTGAAATCAATCAAGATATACTTTTAAAATAATAAGGGTATCCTAGAAATCCACCCGAGGCAGTGGATTTCCACTTTAGCATCCACCAGAATCACCTGAGGGCTGTCGTATACCCAGTGTCTGATTCTCTTAAGAAACGGGGCCCAAGAATTTGCATTTCTAACAATTTCCCATGGGCTTCGGCTGCTTCTGGTCCTAAGAACAAAGTTTGAGAACCATTGACCTGGTGGTGGTGGTGGTGGTAGTGATGGTGGTGGTGAAAGTGCAGCACCTCAGAGAGCTGTAGTTACCCAAGCAGGTGAAGCTGAGGGAGTCCTAGGGCCCATGTGAATACCCATTAGGAGAATGATGTCATACATATTAAGGCACCATGGATAAAGGTATGTCAAATATGAGCCCTAAATCAAGACTTGTAAGGGCAGCCTTGAAAAATGGGAAACTTGGCACCTGGCCGGGCATGGCTCAGCAGTTGAGCATCGACCTAGGATCCAGGAGATCCCGGTTCGATTCACGGTCAGGGCACATGCCCGGGTTGCGGGCTTGATTCCTGGTTGGGGGCCTGTGGGAGGCAGTCAATCAATGACTCATCATTGATGTTTCTGTCTCTCTCCCTCTCCCTTCCTCTCTCTGAAATCAATAAAGATATATTTTTTAAAATTTTTAAAAATTTTTTCTTAAATGGGTAACTTTATGCAGTCTGTTTTGGGGATTAGTAACAGCAAGAATGATTAACAAATTAAGAGACTGACTATCCAGACACTGGCCAGTCCATATATGACAACAGAACCCTAACTCACAGCCTCTGCAGCAATGGGCCCAGAACAGTCAGGTCTTAGTCAATGAGTTCCAGCTTCTCTAATTTTCACCCCCACTTCCAACTCAAGACCCCGCTGTAGAAAGCCAAATGTCCTCTCCAAACCAATCACAATACACCCCGGCCTCCAGCTTCCCTGTGCTACCAACCTGCAGTTTAGGGCCCACCCGAAGCCTTTTTCTCTCTATAAACCTTGCCCACTAGCATGTGAGTCTTCACTTGTACTTGAATCTCTGCCAGATGCACGTGATGATGGCTGACTCCCTCGCTATAGAAAGATCTGAATAAATAACCTCTGTTCTCATTTGGGTAATCTTCAGTTTCTCCCATAAAATCTCCACAGCAAACGCCAGCCAATTATTGTTAATAGTTTCCTGTTCTTGGAACTGTTCCTGCTCGTGTTAACTCTGGTATCACTAGGTGGCACCATTCCCCTGGGTTCCCAGACCTGGCTGGGAAGAAATGGATGGGCTGGGAAGGATGCGCAGGCCCACCTGGCTGTGCTTATCTTGGCAACGATCCAAACGCGGGTGACTAGCATTTCCCAAGTAACCGTGTTATGTAGCAGGCACCATGCTCAAACCTTGGGGCAGAAGGTGGGGATAGGGAATCGGCAGGCTCTGGGATTCTCTACCTCTGTACTTTTGACATTTGGGGCAGGATAATTCTTTATTGGATGTGATGGGTGTGGACAAGGGGGATGGGAAGCTGTCCTGTACATTGTAGGATGTTTAGCAGCATCTCTGGCCTCTACCCACTGGATGCCAGAAATACTCCCCCTTTCCCAGCTGTGACTTTAAAATGTCTTCAAACATTGTCAAATGTCTCCAGGGGAGCAAAGTTGTCCCTAGGTGAGAACCACTGGGCTCTGTGCTGAGGACAGTTCTCAGCTGAGGCCCTTTCAGCACCCCCACCACCACACTCACTTTCTTCATTATAGAGCATCAACCCCTGCCTACGCCTGCCGAAACCTCCCCTTTTCCTTTCCCATCCCCCTGAACTGAACATGCTCTACACTAGTGTGTCTCCAGTGGGAACTTGAGCCAGCTCCACCCCAAACACCTGGGGTGCTTGTGAAACTGCAGACTGCTGGCCTCCCCTGCATTAGGGTCCCTATGGGGAAGATTAGATTCCCCACCCCATCCCTGAACAAGCCAAGGGGATTATCAGGCAAACACAAAGTTTGGGAAGCACGGACCCCATCCCTGCCCCCTGGCCCTGCGTAATGCACCTGGCCTGCAATTGGCTTCTAAGAAAGTTGGACCTGGGCATCAAAATTCTGGCCCTGGGGCACCCACATACATAGAAAATGTCAGAATCAATACTGGAAAAGACACTAAGGGAGGAGGCTGTCTTAGGCATGCCTGCCTCTTTCCCCGTTTGCTGCCATGGTTTTCACATCCCCTCCTCAGGTAGGCCTACTTGCTACTGCTACGTCTCCCTTTCTCTTTCTGTCTCTTTAGTTGAATGGTCTCCATTACTTCTTGAGAGAATTTCTCTCCTCTTCTGGTTTCCACCTTCTGGTTGCCTAGATGGGTTGTTCTAGCTCTACCCAGGGGCAGGTGCCACTCCTGTACTAATGCATGTGGCCCCCAACAGGTCCCCTCCCTCCTGAGTGGCGTGCTCCTGCTCATAGGTAAGGTCCCATCCTGCTCTGCTCTGCTGTGCCCCACCATGCTTTCTGCAGCTCCGCTGCTCCTGGTCCTTTAATGCCTCTGTCCTAAAGCTAGACAAAGTGATCGCAGCCAAAGCCAGGCCCTTGAAAGCTAGGGGAGGGTGCAGGAGCCCGGGGCCCTCAGTCTGGGCCCTGCTCCCCTCCCCTGGGTGGCCTGAGCTTCCCCTCCCCTTCCACACCACAGCTCCTGGATGACATTTGATTGGGACCAAGAACAAACCAAGACTGGGTTTGAGGTTTGTGTGGGATGCTTGGCTTGGTTTTGTTTCCTCAGAGGGAGCCAGCCAGGGGTTGCGGTGGGGCAGAAAGGACCTCACGTCCAGCCTCTCTAGGAGGAGAGAATGGGCCAAGGATGGCACAAGCGATGGAACAAGAATAGAGGGAAGGAGCAGGGTGCCCATGAAAGACAAGGGGAGCCCAGCTGCTTGTCCAGATGGCGCCACAGGCTCAGATCCACTGTTGGTCAGTCAGAAGGATGAGAAGCCTCTCCAAGGGCATGTCAAGGTGACTTTCGCTGCTAAAATAAGTTCCTTCCTTGCTCTATCTCATCCAAATATTAAGGGCCTAAGCACAGATAAATGATTTCTCTCCCCATGCCAGTTTTCTAGATAAAATCATCATCATAAAATAACCCAGCCTGTCATCCTTCATCTACTGTGTGTATGCTTTTCAACTATGCACGGGGCAGGTGGCAACGAGATAGAAGCAGGTTGCTGTCAAGGGGCTGTGAAAGAATGGAAAATAGTGTCCCAAACAGGGGTACCTGATCCCTAGGGAGGAGGGTCAGCGATGCCCCAGGAAATGCAGTGCCTGCACCTTCCAGAAGGGGCAGCATAGCCAGGACTGGGACTGAATACTGATCCAGAAACCCCCCTCCAGGGTGAGTGGGTGGCGCTGGTTCTCAGACAACCTGGTGTAAGGAAGGAACATGGCTTCACCCCGACCGTCCTGGGCCTGTGTGACCTCAGATAAGGTACATAACCTCTTGGAACTTGGGTTTCTCACCCCTAAAATGGTGGGAATAATATTTCATTGCTCAGATGTGTGGGGAGGATTACATGACATGACATATGTCAAGTGCCTGGAACAAGGAATTTCAGTGGAAATTGAAGAGTTTTGGAGAGGAGATGCTCAAAGGCTCCTTCTGAGGCTCCCTCCCGGTCGTAACCAGGCTACCCCTCTCAGCCCTCAGTCTCCTTCACTTGGCTTGTAGCTAAGATGAAGCAGGCACTGTGCTGCTGGCCAGGCCCTGGCAGAGGCCCTGGACCTAAAACGGATCATGGAGTCGGGAAGCTCAACTCGAATGGGGGAGAAGAAAAGCTAGCTGCCTGCTCTGGCCTCTTGAACCCTGAGCATCCTGCGCTCCTGGAAAGAAATGAGATTAGGAGAAGCTAACAGAGGGCGCCCCCAGGGGCCAGGAGGGAACAACATCCTTTACTTAATGATCTCCTTTAATCCACGAGAGATGGGGTGGCATAACCGATCCTGTTTCCACTTTATAGATGAAGACACTGAGGGTTAGCCCGGCGGGGTGTGGCTCAGCGGTTGAGCGTCGACCTAGGATCCAGGAGATCAAGGTTCAATTACCGGTCAGGGCATATGTCCGGGTTCGGGCTCGATAAATGACTCTCTCATCATTGATGTTTCAACTCTCTCTCCCTCTCCCTTCCTCTCTCTGAAATCAATAAAGATATATTGGGGGGTGGGGGGGAGACACTGAGGGTTAGAGTAGAAGCAACTTGCTTTAGAGCAGGATTTGGCCTGACCTGCAGGCCAACCTCTTCAGCAGGACGCCAAGGGAAGAAGAGGAGGGTGTTGAGACGCTCTGCAGAGATCCAAGACTGTGCTGGGTGGAAAAGGCAGGATTTAAGATCAGGAACAATCCACTCTTTCCCCCTCCTCCCACTCACAGCTTTCCTGACTTGAGGCCAGGCTCTCCCTCCTACCCTGGCTCTCACTTTCCACAGTGGAGAGAAGCTGAGGACAGACAGGGAGGGCAAGAGGAGGCACTGTCGGAGCAGTCGGTGTCAGGAGCTGGGAGAAGAGGGGGCCACTTAGACGGTCTTCCAGGCCCCAGTGCACAGGCCCCACCTTGGGGGGCTACTCTTCCCTCCGGAGCTTGAGAACCAAGGCTTGGGAGAGACCAGGGGTAGCATCAGTTGGAAAAGCTCCAGGGAGCCAGCAGGGGCAGGGCCTCACAGGAAAGGAGGGAAGGGAGTCATGCGTGGGTCCCCTGCCATGGTGACATACTCATCGGATGACCCAGGGAGGGAAGCAGCCAGCCCTGAGGAAAGGTGGAGTTGGGGCTGGGACAAGCAGGCGGGGATGGAAACTTGCAAAGCACAAGTGCCAGCATCACTCATCAGAGTCTGAACGGAGGCAGGAATGTTTTTCTAAAACAAGGTAGCATCCAAAACCCAGAGACGAAGGAACAGCCCCGGCTGGTTTGGCTCAGTGGTTAGAACGTTGGCCCGAGGACTGAGGCGCCCTGGGTTTGAATCCGGACCAGGGCATGTATCTTGGTTGTAGGTTCCATCCCCGTGTGGGAGGCAACCAATTGATGTGTGTCTCTCTCACATTGATGTTTCTCTCTCTCTCTCCTCCACTCTCTCTGAAAAGCAATAGAAAAAATATCCTTGGGTGAAGATTAAAAGAAAAAAAGAAGGAATAGCTGCCTGCCACCTACAAGTTACCACTGAGGGCCTCCCTAGCCTCCTCTCTGGCCTGCCCACCTGAGATGTGATTAGCAATTATGGAAGCCACAAAATTGAAGGTAGGCCTGTTTTGTGCATTGGGTTGGGGGAGGCAGCCACCTGAGCTCTCAGTGGCTCTCCATCTGCCATTTTCTTCACTTTGCGTTTGCCTCCTGACACCCAGGACCCTGGGAGTAATTAACCCTCAAGAAGCCAAGTCTCTGGTTTCTTTGTTTTTTGTTTGTTTGGTTTTTTAAAAAATATATCTTTATTGATTTCAGAGAGAGGAAGGGAGAGGGAGAGATAGAAACATCAATGATGAGAGTCGTCATTGACAGACAGCCTGCCTCCTGCATGCCCCCAACTGGGGATTGAGCCTGCAACCTGGCCTGTGCCCTGACCGGGAATTGAACCTTGATCTCCTGGATCCTAGGTCAATGCTCAACCACTGAGTCACGCCTGGCTGGGCTCTGTGTTTTTTTTAAGAAAGTGAAAACTTGCTGAATGATACTTCAGCAAACAAAACAATAATTAAAGTGCTTACACTTTTTAAGAAGCACTTGAACCCTACAAAATGATATTCTAAAGTTTACTGTGCTTAGTTGAAGTGGGTATGGCAATGAAGCAGTTTAGGAAGCTCTAACAAGCCCAAGAAAAGCTTTAAAGGTCTCAAGAATGAGCAAAGCCCTCCCTAGGGAGACAGCTTTTTCTCTGTGACTTTGAGACCTGCCTGTGTCCCTTAAATCTCAGGCCGGGTCTGTAGGAACTGCCTGGCAGTACCCAGTGTTCCCCATGTTTTGCAATCCTTTATTCCCCCCCACACACACACACCCCTTTTGCGGATTAGTAGGCCGAACCTCTTTCCCCCTTTTTCCACTGCTCCTAGACTTTAGGCCCCTCCTTCTGGGGGCCCCTGAGCTAAAGACAAGAATGACTTTCCTCCTGGTGCAGAGATGGGCCTGGAGCCTCCCCCCCCACCCACAAATCGCCACTGCCAGGCCCGGCTCCCTTTCATCCGTGAACCCCCTCCCTGTCCTCCGCATAAAATGCCCACAGCATTTTCCCGTGTACTTCGCAGTGGGCAGTCCTAAGTCCTGTGATCTGAGCTCCTCGATTGCCCTGTGCCAGTGGCGGAGCGGGGACCATCCAGTCCTCTCTCCTCTGGGCCTTTCCTGACTTCCCTCCTCGCCGATCTGAGACCCTGTGCCCCGCGCTCAGGAGCCCTGGGCTCTCCTCGCCTGAGTTACGGTTGTCGGTGCCCCGGCCAGACTGCCGGTTGCGGCGGACAAGGTGGTGGCTGACTCCCTAGGGTGCCCCCCCACCTCCATAACGCCCGGCGTGAACTGAAGGCGAGGAGTGTCGCCGCCACCTCCGTGCCTCGGTTTCCGAGCCTCGGCCCCAGGCTGGTGGAGATGCAGAATGCCATTCCAGCAAAGAAGGGGTTAAGCCGCCCTCTCCCCACCCCCCAAAAAAAGGCGAGGGGAAGAGTCCGGCAGAAGGTCCTGTTTACCGGAGCCGCCGGCGTCCCAGGGCCCGGGGAGAGGCGTTGCCGTGGCTACGGGCCGGGCGCCCGGCAGCTGCGGATGAGCTCACTGGAGGGGC